AGATGACAAGTTAATATTCAAACATCATGTGAACAAGTTAAGGAATTACTTGAATATTTAAGCATGGATACATGTTGAAAATATTAAGACAAGCAAGTAACAACCAAATATACATGTTATCAATTCAATCATGGTCTTAAACAAGTAGGAAACACCACAAGAGTTCAAGCATACAAGCATGTACTCAAAGGCATATTCAAGTCAAAATTCAAGTGTATAGGAACACATAAACATGGTGTGATCAACACAAAGGCACACATGCACATTAAGGTCATGTAAACATGGGAGAAACATCACATATTAAGGAAAAAATAGTCAAACAAAAGCTCATGGTATGGGCAAAGTTCAACATACACTTTTAACATGTAAACATACACAAAAAATGCATCAAAACTCAAGTAAGGACATAATGTACAAGTTCACAAAGTCATACAAAGTTTATACAAGATGTATATGATGCATACAAGGCAGCATGTACAAAATAAATCAGGGAATCAATCAAAATAATCAAAAGAAACTTAAGGAAACCCTAAAAATGTCACACACTTTAAGCACTCACAAATGCATCAAAACAGGAAAAGGTCCCCCATGGGTGTTGAACCCATGTCACCACACTTGCAGCTCAAAGCTATAGTCAGCTCTACTACACACACATAATGATAACATGATGAGAGCATGATAATATATGTGATAACCACTTGGAAAATCCAAAAAAAAATAAAAGAAATGGGCGAGGGGGATTCAAACCCCAGTTTTGAAGGTGACAAGGTTACAAGGCGCACAGGTTACAGCCACTAGGGTGGTGATACATTCATTGTATTACCCCCACAAGTTAAAATATATGCCTAAAGTCAGAACCAAGAGGGCGCCCATGGATGGCTTGCCCAAGGATTTTCAGGTTTACTACCATTTGCAAAAGGGATCATAACTTTGTCATTTCTCCATGAAAATGGATGAAATAAAAATAAAACTTGCCTAGAATTTCATGAGGAACACAGTGGTGGTCTTAGTTTTGTCAAAACACGTGATTTCTCAATAGATTATCAGTATAAATAAAAAATTATCTCCAATTTTCTTTCACTTCTTACACTTGATTTCTCACATGCGAGGATTGTAGAATATGTCTAAACCTTCTCATCATTTGTCTGTAATTAATTATTATTTTTGGTAAGAACTTTGTTCTACCCATGAAACTTTAGATATAAGATGTCTATTTCTCCATTTTCATTAATTAAATATTTTTTATTATTAGTATTAGATTAGCAGTTTTATGACTATTGTGTTTACTAATATTTTTTTATTTAATTCACATCGGTAAGGATTTCCCGCAATATTGGCAATTCAATAGTAAACCTACTCAATATTGAAAACTCTATTGTAAATGGTCTAAATTAATGTGCAAGACCCTAGTACGAAGGCTCATAACATTTTATATCCATAAAGATATAAAATTTTTTAAGATATTTGATGAACAAAAATATTATTAAAAACATTATTGAAGTTACTCTCTTCCTATTTCTTCTATTTATTTTATTTGACTATTTAATTAATCTGTTATAAATTTCAATTTTATTTTATTTTATTTTATTGTAGTGTTTATTTTATTGCAATTATATATGTCAATACTTTCTACCAAAAAAAGAAGAACAATTTCTTCAAGTTTGATGTAGAATGTATTGAATATGTCCTCAATTCTTTTGTCCGATGAATTATATAATATTAACAAGTTTAATAATATATTACAAGCTCTAAAAAAATGAAAGAGTTAGACTTACAAAAATATTCCCTCTCAGTTCATTAATGACTCTAATTTGTTTTCTCAATATCTTACATGACATACTATATGTAAAATCACATCAATAAAAAATTTGATTAATAAATATTATATCCAGACTTATTCATTGACAATTAAAAATATTTATGATAAAATATATATTTTTATTAAAAGGGAAATTATATATATGTACAATATTGATGATAACATTTTTATTTTAGATTGTATAATTTTAAACTCAAAAAAAATTTCTAAATATCATGAACAAAAGACAAAAGAAAAAACCAAAAGAGCATGCATTAAGATTTTTATATTTGTAAACATTATAATCTTAATAAATTATAATTTCAAAACATTTAAGATAACAAATATTTTTAAAATATATGAAAATACTTTTCACTTGTTTTTTTTCAAGTCTACCCGTGCGGGTCAATATCTAGTTATAATGTTAATGTGAATATGTAATTTAGCCTAAATGGACGTGCATTGACATTTGTTTGGAGGTTTATGACAGTAGTCGTGTTTCTGTAATTACATAGAAAATCACAATTTTATTTGGAGATACATTTTCGATTCTATCTAAACTATTTTTAGAGATGTATCTCCAAATTTGTATTTGAACAAATTTTAGAGAGCAAGTCGGAGAAAGTCTAGGGGCACATCGCCTTTTAAGCCTAAAAACACAAAAATTTATGTAAATGCTAGTGCTCACAAAAACCTGAAGGAAAAAAAAACAGAACGAAGCTTAACTAACACATTAAAAGGTGAGGGTATAGACCCTTGACCCGCACCACACTAAAGTGCAGGTAAAACGGACATGTCCAACGGTGCTCCTTCTGTCACCCCTAGTGTGAATTAATTAATGTGTTTACTTTCTAATCCATAGTCTAAAACAATCTAAAATATGTGGGCCTCAAAAAATATTAAATTTAATGAATAAAAACATTATAATTAAATACAGAAGATATTTCGAAGATGCATCTTCAAATACACTCAAAGATCATACAAAAATGCATCTTCAAATACACTCAAAGATCATATTCAAAATGGAATAATCTCAAAAAGACACAGGCCGGTGAGATTTTAGTTGTGTCTATAGACTTTGGGATTTCCAAAGGTGTGAACGCACCCTTAAGGGTCGAAAGACTATTTCTCTCATTTTTGCAAATCAAACATGCCCTAAATCTGTCACTTTAACTTAAATAGCCCAGTAAATTACAAAAGCAACAAAGACAAATGTGTAAAATGGAGTTGTTTGGGCGACATTTTTGTATCTTTAAGATGAACTGGTATAAAAGTAAAACATTTGGCAAATGGCATAGAGCTCATTAGTTACTAGGTAGTACTTTTTGAGAAATAGAAATGGTCTTAACCCCTATGCTTTATAACTCTCTTAGAAACACTTCCTAATAATAATTAGCTATGCTTCCAAATCAGTTGCACATGTAAATCCATTTTCAAGATGGGCTCTGGTGTACACAATTTCTGTTAAATTATTGGCATGACTTGACTGCATTAACGTGCGTTCAACAAATTGATGTTATTCCATAACCCCATTGTTGTACCTGAAACATTGAATGTGCAAGGTTTTAGAATTGAGATGAAACATCAAATAATAAAACTGTGAAAATTAAGTTACAGGTAAGACAAAAAATGAACCACAAATACCTCAGCATTCTCTACAATTCTTTCAAACATGTGATAATTAATAATGCTCTTAGAGATTATTGCAAAACCAGCAATTAACAAGTATAATGAATTGCAGTAGACTAATATAAATCATGTCATCATCTTAATTGAGTATTTTGTCTGCAATCATCAAGTGATCTAAAATCATCTCCTCCAACATCCCATATTTTACTTGTTTTGTTTGATGATATTTTGAAGTATTCATTTAAAGAAGTCCAAAGTTGTTACAGTTGGAATTCAACCACAACCTATGAAGAATTTCTATTCAATCTTGATCTCAAGATTGTTACCAATCAAGCAATGACAATGAAAAAAAAAGGTTGAGAAAGAAAGAAAGAAAATAACGTTGGAGAAGATGAATATTTTCTGCAGAGTTTTTCTCTGCCCACAAACTGTGGAAACTTCTTTATTCACTTTGCAACTGCAAAACTGTGAATTCTGTTATGAGTTGTGTTATTTACAAAATAAAGGTTGCTCCTTATTTATAGATTTAGGTTATCTTGCATCCCAAGCCAAAGGCCAAAATTATAAAAACCCAAAATAGCTAACATTACTAAAATAGACCTAAGTCGAAATTTTGTGTGAAGCAACTTGCTTCGACACTTCGACACACTAATACAACTTGACACAGAGATATTTCAATACAAAGAATTACATTCTTAACAGTTACGAACAAATAGATCATTCACTCTTTATGATGCCATTTTATCTCTCTTTAAAGAGAAAGGATAAATGAATGTACTTCAATTCTCCTCACTACATAAAGATAAACAAGGTTGTTCAAGTAGCTTAAGGGTAACCTTCAGAATGCCGTGAACTAGCCATCGAGCATTTGGATTCATCTTACCTCTATAATTTAAAGATTTTAAAAACCTTTCTTTCTTTTTTTTAAGTTGGTAAACTATTTGTTTTTCTCCTTACATCCAAATAAAGAAAGAACCTTTGGAATCATTTAACTCTTTCACGAGTGCTTTTCATGTCTTGATGTAAAAGAACTGTGTTACAAAAACTAAAAATCAAAACAAAAAAAAAAGACACGCTCTATGTGACAAACTTGGTTGTGGCATTCAGCATAGAAACAATGAGAAATAGGGAAAATCTTTTTGATTACATAATAATATTGCAGAACTTTGACTGTCTGCACTTCCCTAATGCCAAAATGGCTCTTTCCTATCCAATTCCGTGATATGATAAACTCTCCCACATCTTCCCCCATTTATTCTAAACATAAACCTACTAGATAACTAATAAAACTTAACTACTCCTAATAATATAATAATTTTCCACTAACCACTATAATAATTGCTATTTAAAAACATAATTCTAAGTCATATGAGAAGTCTAACAGTCATGCAGCACTTGAGGCATGCATACTCACCAAGGCTCTGAGCTCCATAAGAAAAAAAGCACCAATCCACATTCTATAATAACTGAATCACCTTAATGATAAACGAACACCCAACAAAACTAAATTGCATACTTGCCTCATTTCAAACAGCAGAAACAACCTGAAGTGGGGACTAAGATCTCTCTTATTTTAAACAGCCATCTTCATCTCAATCTTTTGGTGAGGATCATAGTCAATGAGCTTGAAATCAGTAGCCACAAAAGAATCTATATCTTTCTTCTCTGAATTGATTTTCAAAGTCTGCAATGGAATCAGTTTAATCAACATGTAAACAAGTAATCAAGCATAAATCTAAAGTAGTGCTAAATGGTTAAAAAAATGAGTGTGCCTAACTAACTACATAAAAGCAAATTAATTTCTTAAACATTACACATACCGGAAAAGGTTTTGGCAGGTTATGAAGCTGCTCCTGCAAAGGCCTCACGTGAGTTTGGTAAACATGTGCATCTCCAAGAACATGGATAAAATCACCTGGAACAAGTTCTGACAAGAAAAAAAAAACATGATATAAGAATTGATGGTTTCAATTTCAAATTACTTATTGATATCTTTAAAGATATATTATGATATCAACCCAATAAAATTTTGAATCCCAAGTCCAACAACACTCAACCTAATTCAACAACAACTAAAAACACCACTGAGTGAGTCAATTGATTTCATTAAATCCTGACAAGTATTCCAAAGACCATTTGCTCCAAAATTTCTCTTATTGGTTTGGCCCATAGTTTTCTTTGATCTACCTCTAAGAATTAAACTATCTCCCCCCTTTTAAGCTCCCCTCTTCTGCAAGCCTTCTACATACATACCCAACCCACCAAAGACAAAACTACCATATATTCTACAATGGGGGACCTCTGACCTTCTTACTAATTATTGTACTTCTAACTTTACTTTTAAAATTTGGATTGCCTATAGCTCAATGCTACAAAACCAGCTTGTAATGTGAGGGATGCATCCCACATATAAACATATTTTCATGTCATATTACGTACAACGTGGGTACTTCATCCTTGTAACCTCAAGCGATAGAGTTCAAATCCCCTCGAGGACAGTTGTAAAATAGTCATTAGTACCACTTCAATTAATAATAATTTACCCCTTCCTCAATTTTTCTAAAATCCAATGTGGGACTCCAATTACACTCATCATGCCAAAATGACTACAAAAATGCTAAAACTTGAAAAGTGAATATTGGAAAGAGAAATATAAAAATAAGAGCTTTAACCCTTGTATTCAAAACCATTAATGTTACTAATAAAGGCTATATAAAATGTTACTGTATCAACCTCTACACATGACTTACAGTAAGGAGATGCTCACCTACCTTGTGTTGAAACTATTAGAAGAATAGGGGCAGGAAGAAACCAACTTTAGACCATTTGGTCAAGAACATCAGATACCATATTCTAAATCAAATATCCCAAAGTTGTGAGGTGAAAAATCATGAATGGTTTTGATATTACATCTCTAATAGTTTGAACAGACCAAATAAGCCTAACTTTCTAGGGTAACTAAATCAAGATTAAGCTGAGCTCAGCTCATGAACAATTCACAAAACCTCAAGATTTAAGATGGTGTATACATATTATAACATATTTTAATTTACAGAAGATGCTTAGATAAATTTGCATACCACAAATATGAGCAATCATGCATGTCAGGAGGGCGTAAGATGCAATGTTGAATGGCACACCCAGACCCATGTCAGCAGATCGCTGATTCATTTGACATGATAACTCCCCATTTGCTACATAGAACTGCAAAAATTAAAATTTAGAATATAAATTAATAGGACGGAGAGACTAGAGAGGTATGGAGAGATTTTTCAAAATGAAACCCAAATAAAGTTGCATACCTGTGCAGACATGTGGCAGGGTGGAAGTGCCATCAATTTAAGATCTGCTGGATTCCATGCAGAGAGAATGATCCGTCTATCATCAGGATTATGCTTTATCTTGTTGATAACATCTAAAAGCTGATCAACTCCTTGGCCGGCATAGTCATTATGCATGTTAGTATACCTATAAAAAGTATAATGGAGAATAAAGAGCATAGTAAAACATAAGTAGTCTATAAACCTACTGGATAAAGGTATAATAAATTCACGTACCTAGCACCAAAGTGCCTCCACTGAAACCCATAAACAGGTCCTAAGTCACCCTCCTCCCTCTCTGACAAACCAATGCTGTAATAAAATGTAAAGCCACTAAATAAATGGAAGAGGAGAAGTGTACAATTTTATATTTAAAAGTTCCAACAATTAACAATTGTGCTCACCTATCAAGGAATTCCCTGGATGCATTATCATCCCATATATGAATGCCTTTTTCCTGTAACACCTGTCAATATAAGTATGAGTTATATAACATGCTTTTAATAGTTCTGCCTCTGTCAAACCTATGCTCAAATAGCATAAAGTACCCAGCCCCATGCACCACAATATTTGCCTCATGTTAGCTGATTAGTGACATGATTAAGAAAGTTGAGGATTTATGTGTGTGTGGATAAGATTGGTAAAAGATATAAATACCTTGGCATTTGTTGAGCCACTGATAAACCAAAGAAGCTCTTCAACAACCCCTCGCCAAAATACTCTCTAGCAATCAAATGTAGATATCACTTTAACTTTTTTATCGAAATATACAAATAGATATTCTTCTTCCCCAATAAAGACCGACGGTGGTAAGCAAACAAATAAGTAAATAACAAAAACAATTCTTCCTCAACTCAATACAGACCGAAAAATAGTGAACAAAAAAATGAGTTAACATTATAATTACAAGTTATTTTACACAGCTGATTAACACGACTTAAACCATAATCCCTGCTACATACCTTAGTTGTTAGAAGAGGAAAACTTCTGCGCAGATTGAACCTCATCTGTGGAATTATTACAGACCACGTAAGCATATAAACTGCATCAAACCACAGTGCACTAACTGAAATTTTACCTGGCAACCAAATTTTGACAAGGTCCCAGTCCCTGTCCTATCACCCTTGGAGGTACCTTGAGATATGATTTCTTGAACCAGATTAAGATACATGTACTCCTCGTGTCTCTCAAAGACCATTTTTGGAAGAAAAGAAAAGTTCTGAACCACAAATTTTTTAGAAGCCGGTTTATTATCAAGAGGTGAAACAGTACTCTGATTCAAGGACTCTGCTACAGAACTTCTTACACGCACATAAGTGGTGAAAGAATATCGGATGTTGTTTTCCACCTTAGGAAAGGATGAGTACCATGGCCGAAATACAGTGAAATCAATTGGAGGCATAAAAGTGTCACAGTCAATGCTTGTGTGAATTTCTGTGATGTGGATAGCTTCACATTCGGGGGCATTGAGAGCATCTCTATACATGGAAATAATCACCAATAAGTCTATAACCGAGAAAATACTAAACATGAAAAGGAAAGAGAAGAGGAACAAGGAAAAATAAAACAAAGTAATACCTAAATATCTCACCACCCCCAATAACAAATATTTTCTCAATCGATGTACAATAAGGAGAAGAAGCTAAAAGTTCCAATGCAGAAGACATACTTCCACATATTACAACATTCTCCACTGCATTAACATCAAAACTACCCGAGCGAGTCAAAACAACATTAAGACGGCCAGGAAGAGGCCTGAACTGAAGAGGAATACTCTCCCATGTTTTTCTTCCCATAACAACGGCATTCTTCTTCCCAGATTCGGAAGTCGTCATAGTTATCTCCTTGAAAAACTTGAGATCAGTAGGTAATCTCCATGGCAACTTCCCATCCTTACCAATTCCCATATCTTTGGTAGCAGCCACAACCACTTGGTAAGTCCTCTGTAGGTTAGGCATTGGGTTGATGCTACCATTTCCATTTCCATTGAACCTTACAGAGGAATCAGCAGCCATAGCAGAACTCAAAAACCGAGATAAACTTAAAGATTGCTTCTGGTGAAAACAAGGACTGCACAACCAACTCTTTTGGAAGTGCAGTGCAATCTGAAACCCAAAAAGTAGTTATTATAAATGGCACTCACTCACATACAGAACATTATGAAATGTACGAACAATAACTTGCTTTTTTGAATACACAAGAACAAACCCTAAAAAAGTAAAAGATTTCAGCATGAATTGAAGAAGAGGAAGTTGAAGAATGAAGTAGCTAACCGATATGAAATTGAGGCGCGAAATTTTGAAATTGGTGAGCTGAGAGTGAATGAGAATGGAGATTTGCGTCCTGATTTGAAATAGTTGTGGGCGGAGAGACGACGAGCGGAGATGACGACGCCGAGAAAAACTGCCGCCGGTGCGACGGCGACGATAGGGTTTTGTTGAATTTTTTATTACAGTTTGTGTTAAGACTGATATACAAATACAACACAAGTACACAACTACTTTTTGTTATGCAGACTGCAGAGTACAAAATTAATTTAAGAATGGAAATTCAACAAAATTGTTTTTTTATATATTCTTACATTTTTATTTAAAAAGTAATTTTTTATTGGGTCAAATTTTCGACTTTTGCTATTTTTATATAAATTTAATTATTATGTAGCCATAACATATAAAGATTTTTATTTTGAGAATAAAAAAACAATCATTTATATATTCATAACTATAGTTTAGAAGAGTTTGTGTTGACCTATTTTTTTTTTAAATTGTTTCATAAATTATTTAAGGTTTCACTTTTTTTTATAGAAAACAATTTATACTTTTTTGTGATTTTGTATCATCGTATCTTTCACCTTTTTAACACCTCTAAACAATTTCGGTCAGATTTCTTATATTTCTTTCATTGATTTTACGTCATTGGTCTTTTTTAAATTATCTAAATCAATGCATTGATAATCTTTCTTCTTTAATTTTTTTTTGTGCAACTTTTTTTCATCTTTCGCGTTTCTGCAAGCGGCTTCACTCCCTCCTTCACAAGATGCCAAAGATTTTGATAGCAGAAAATAATCTTTATCTACTTGCATCAATTCTAGCAATTTTGATTCTTCAGAATTGGGAGACTCATCTAAAAATGTTCATTTGAATGATTCATTACGTTATGATTTTCATGAATCACACAATCAGTGTTTTAGATATAAGACGTTGGAATTAAACCACACCTATAAGATGTTGGAATTAAACCACACCTATGGAGAATTTCGAATCAAACTTGATGAAGAATCAATTCTTCCAATTGATTTCGCCTCTTATTTTTCATTTCTTCATCAACTAACCTTAATTACAAAATGATTTTATACATAATCTATAATAAAGAAAAAAACAAAAGATGAATGATGTGAATTTATACAATATTAATGATAACATGAATCAACCATAAATGAATAACTTTTCGATATTTCAAATAAAAAAATTAAAATAATGATAACTTCTTACAATTTATTAACCAAGTTTATTACATAAATAATTTAAAATAAAATTATAATAAAAAACATTTGTTTATATTTTTGGCGTGCATTTGTTAAAAAAACAGATAATCTGTTTAAATACTAGTAGTATATAAAGAGGATAGTGATATTTAGGCTAGCTTTAATTTCTTCTGTTTCATTTATTTATTTTTTTGAAAACTAGTAAAATATAGCGATTAACATAAGAAGTTGAAATTTGAATTATAGATTGAAAGAGAAAATAACTACACATCTCTTTCTCTCACTAACTTTTTATAACCTATGCCTCTATTTTGTTAGAAACTAACTTAATATACTCTCTTTAATTAGTCACTTTCTCATCAAAATTTTGATTTTCTTTTTTTATCATTTTCAATGAAACTAGTAAAAAACTCGTGTGTATGCATGAAGCCATTAATTTTAATTGAAATTTTAACTTATTTATATACATTAATATAAATTGACAAATTTAATTTTGTAATGCACATTGTCCATATTAAATAAATAGTAGATTAAAATTATTAAATAATTGACTATTTTTAAACCGATAAAAAATTATTATTTAGAAAAAACAATTTAAAAGATAATGATATATATATATATATATATATATATATATATATATATATATATATATATATATATATATATATATATATATATATATATATATATATATATATATATATATATATATATATATATATATATATATATATATATATATATATATATATATATATATATATATATATATATATATATATATATATATATATATATATATATATATATATATATATATATATATATATATATATATATATATATATATATATATATATATATATATAAAAGAAGTCATATGTCATAAACACCATCAAAAAATAGTACATAAATGTCATCAAAATATAGTACATAAAAAAAACACCACAGTCACTATTGTGTGTGCTTGATAACATCTTCATCCTCTCCTTTGCATGTGCCTCTGCCTTTATCGCCTCCTCGACCGCCCAGTCTGCGTCCTCGGTCATTGATCCCACCCGTTCTAGCGCGATGTCTGCGGTACATAAGTGTCTCATGTGTCACCGCAATCATCTCATCCAATATACGCCTGTGGTCAGACCCCTCAGGGAAGAAACTGGTGTCAATGCCTGTCTGTCCCATCTCCACTATCTGACGACAGCGAGGTAGAACATCTTAAGTGTGGTCCAACTGAGACTGCTGCTCCTCTAAAATCTCATGATGAGCTGGTCTGGGCGGTGATCCTTCTGCAGTGGGCACCATGTAGGGGTGTGAGACGATGGAGAACCACATAATGTAGCCATTAACGCAACTTCAGTCTCTCGGTGCTCTGATCGCCCGAGCCTCGTCCGGTACCATGTGCCTCTGATAGTCAGCATAGATTCGTCTATCTGCATACGGGTCAAGCCGAGAGGAGCGAAGACAGCTGGTTGTCTGGTATCGTCTGTGTGTACCTGAACTGTCGCATAACGCACTCGGGCAAATATGGAACAGTGATGGTCAAACTCCATGCCAATCATCCTGAGAATAGTGAGATATCATCAAACGGGCGCGTCACACAGTGAATAACGTAGACGTCGTAGCGGATGTCCTCAGCAGCCAGGCGATCGAGATAGACTCTGTGAGGGTCGACCACCTGATCCCCCTTGAGCAGGAGAAAGGCATGGGCACGCGACATCAACTCTGTGTAATCAGGCACACTCCTCCACCCTGCGATCACGGAAAAATGTTGAAATATCCAAGCTTGAAATGAAAATAAAAAACATCAGGATCAAGCATTATCACGAATATAGAATGAAAAGAAATGAAAAAAATGATATAAGATTGTTACCACGAGTAGTGACATGTTGCCTGCCACAGTCCTGGTCTTCCACAGGCATCCCTCTCCCAACCTCGAATACGTGTACGCCAGTGTAGCCTCCCCCCAATTATACTCATAGATCCGTGTGGAATCCAAAAAGTACTTGAGGTAAGCGACACCGGTATATGTGGAGCTCATGTCCACAAACATCTGAGTGCTGACTAAAAATAGAAAATAACACCTCAGCACACATTGCTTATGTATCTTAACCTCAGATGGATCATCATTTGTCTGTCATGCAGCAGCGAACGCCTCACTAAATCTACGTGTCAGAAAGGAGAACCTCGCATTAGCCCCTCTAGTCTTATCCACCTCCTCAAGCGCATCCAGTGGATCAGCCCCAAGCTCCTCCACCAACATCTCTATCACATCTTCCTTCGTCATCCTACCGTGACAGAGGAGGGTACCCCTGACCGGTATATGTAACAGATAAGAGATGTCATCCAATGTAATCGTGATTTCGTCATGTGGTAGATAGAATAAGGACGTCTCAGGGTGCCATCTCTCTCAAAGCCCATCAGCATCTCGTTATGGATCAGGTCGTAATCGATCTCACAAAGGTCCTTCAAACCAGAGGCGGCAAGGACGTCTTGGAACCAAGCCTCATATGGCTGATCTAAAGTTAATATCTTCCGCTCACGGTTATAGAACTTCTGCGGAGGACGAGTCTAAAAATTTCCATAAATAAGAAAAAATGTTAATAAGAAACAATGGTACAAATTATAAATTTTCAGTGAAAAAGAAATAAACAATTTGAGTAATGTTACCTCTCCATCTCATACATGTATGGAAGTATGGGGAGCGTACCCTTTCAGCAGAGACATATTTGAGGGACCTTTGGGAAACCTTCAGGCTCATCATCATCATCGTCACCAGCATCCTCCGGTGATGGGTCATCACCCTCTGGAGGTGGCGCCGGATCAACATCATCGGCAAGAGGAGGAACAAGGGTATCCCGACGAGACCTGCGGGAGGACGAGGCCTGTGATGAACCCCCAGCTGAATCCCAACGTCTCTGGGATGAAGAAGTGGATTATGGGGTTGGATATAAGGTCGAGGGAGTGACATGGGCATGTGATGAAGAAGGTTGTACTCGCGTAACGACCTAGCTCCGGTCGCGTCTGATAGATGCATGCTGTGAAACTCGTCCAAGTCGCAATATATCGTCTCTGTCTGCCATAATGTTTGCAAGGTATAACCAAGAAAAAAATTAGATACAAATAAATTTTAAAACAAAAAAGGAAAAAAAATAACATTTTTTTACTTCCGGATATGTACACACGGAAAACTTCCATAGATGTATCTACAGAAGTACCTAGAATTCACAATGTTTGAATTATTCTGGAGTTGCATCTACGAAATTGCCCTAACTATAATTTGTTTCGTAGATGTAGCTCCGGAACTTTCTACAACTCCAACAGTCATGACAATGGCGTCTCCTACCCATAAAAATCGATTTTTTGAAGTTCTGATCGTCCGTTTCAGCCAACAAATAATACCTACATTGTCTCTAAACTATGTTTTTAAAACTATCTAAGGATTTCTACCCCTAAAACTATATTCTAACTCGTTTACAGAAAATACTCGAAAATACCTCGGAAACTCGAAAACTTACTGATTATATCGAG